AATCCTCTCACCACCCCTGCACCTCTGGCCTGTACCCCAGTTCTGTATGCACAAATAACTAAATCTTTTTTAAAAGTCAGATATAAAAGAAAAAAGGGAAAGGTCTACAGGATAAAATAGGGGCCAGCCATGAAAAACAATCCTAAGACACTGGGCATAAGGAAAGCCATGCACTAAACAGAGGACCTGTGACTGCTAGATGCGATGAAATATTTCTTCTCCACCTCTGCTGGAAACAGTGGATTCTTTCCTGAAATTTTCACACAGTCAATTCAATTTTATGTGTTCATCAAACTGGTCAGAATAGAAGAAAGAGAAGAGCAACAAAATAAGGAAAGACAGTAAGTCCAAGGAAAAAGTTGACAGATTTTGATCTCCAAGGAATAAAAAACAGCCTACTCAAATAGCGCACGCACAGCCTGCTAAAGACAGGCTCCAGCTCAGCTGGAGAACATGACACTCTGTCACTCTGACTAAAAGAACAGTGCTCTTGATAACAACCACCACCACAGCCTCCACCTCCTGCAGCCTTCACCCTACACCCCACACCAAACCAGCCTACCTTACTAATGTGAAGTCGGCTGTTTGAACTCCGTACTGGAGGCAAGTTACCTTCTGCTGAAAATGTCGTGGTTTCATAAGCATGTATTTTATTTTCTTCTTTTGTGATTTCTGATACCCAATTCTGAAAAGAAGGTAGAAAAGGAAGACACAGTTTGAAATTACTAACCAGGCATTACTCTTTTTTTTTTCAATTGTGAGAAAATACAAACAACATAAAACTTTTCATCGTAACTATTTTAAATGATAAGGTAAGTATATTCATACTACTATTGCCTTTTTAACGTCTACTTATCTTGCAATAGCTTATTATCACCCTTTCCAGCAAGCTTTTCCTGAACTCCCTGGTTGGCTAAAAGTGCTCTTTTATGTATCAGTATAAAAAACATAAATCACCCCTTTATTGTTCATCTCTCTCATATTGTAAGTTTCTTGAGAACTGAGGCTATATCTTGGCCTCATCTTTGTAATTCAAGAATCAATCACAGTATATAATATATAATGGGTTCACAGTGATGTTCGTAAAAGTTGAATTATCACAGGTGCCAGGAACTATTTGTCAGATACACCTCAGGTAAGCACTGGATGCAGCAATAAACAATGTAATCTGTTTTATCTGCATAAGAGACAGGGAGGATGAAAGGAACAAACCAGTAAAAAGAAAAACGAGATAAGAAAGGAAAAAGAAGAGGAATTACAGCGGTGGGTAGGGAGGAAAAGAGAATGGGGAGTGAGGGCTAAGTGGTGGGGAATGAGGAGGAGCGGTAAGGAATGTAGAACAGAAAAGGAGGTGGGAGAGGGACTAATTCAAACAGTGACAAGAAGGAAAAACAAAACAATTGGGAAGAAAGCTGACCAGGCAGCCGCAGCTAAGCTGTTTACATCCTGAAAATAAAGCCAAAGGATTACGGCTCAAAATTGCTATTCTGACTTGTATACTGGTTACCAGATTTTTAAACCAAATCAGTAAAAATGGGAAAGGTGAAACATAGATGGAGCTGGAAAAGATCATGCTTAGTGAAATAAGCCAGAAAGGAAAGGAAAAATGCCGGATGGCTTCTCTCACAGCAGGAGTATAAAGGACAGGCGAGAAAATAGTAAAAATAATGAACAGTTATATACCAGAGACATTTTATTGGGCTGGAATGGGGGGAGGGAAATGCACTGGACTATGGTGATGGCACACGGGTGATTTGGTGATAGAAAGCCCATGGGGATTACAGCTGAGATGGAAAAAGGCACAAATGATGTAAAAATAAACTATTGTATTATTTAAAAAAAATGGGAAAGCTGAAATGTATCAAGAACTTGGTATCCTAAGTTAGAAAGGATTACGGCTCAAAATTGCTATTCTGACTTGTATACTGGTTACCAGATTTTTAAACCAAATTGTTTTCAAATGTATTATTCACCCAAGAAAAATGTACTGAATTAAAAGGAGCAAAACAAAAAAACTCTGCTTTTCCAAAAATCCATAGAAAAGTATTTCTTAAGCAAAATGAAACTACAAAGGAACTCTGAGAAGTATATAGGGATATATGTATCTGGTAGAGAGAAAACTTTCCCAAGTATAAAAGCAAATGAAAAAATTATAAAAAACAAAAGCAAGAAGTGTGATTACATTTAGCAAAATTAAACGAAGAAATATTAAAAACGCCATAGACAAAATTAAAGAGGCATATAAAGTATTGATGGAAAATACACAATTTATTAAGACAGGGTTTTTATAAATAAATTTAAAAAACCTTCACCAGAAAAATCAACAAAGGGACTTTTTCTCTAGGCCTTAATGGAGGAACAGGACTAGATTTACCTTCCTGACTAACTCTACAAAATTATATAAAATACATGATGCAATGGTATCAAGACACTGAACAATAGATATAGTAGAGAAAAATAACCCTTGAAAGAAGGAAAACAAGAAAGGTAAATCCCACATTTCCTCCAACATAATGGTTGGAGTTTCCAGATTACAGCAAAGGAGAAGGACATCTGAACAGCCCTGAGGTCTTGTTGAAGCCATAAGAATGTTGTTCAAACTTCCAGGAGCCCAGTATTGCAAGAACATGGGGGTGATGATATCTAACAGGAGTATGGGAAAGAGCAAGCTCTGGAGCTGGCTCTGTATCTATTAAAGAAATTGAACTCCTTAAAATCTTAAAATCTTAAAATCTTTCCTATAACGAAAACTCAAGTCCCAGGTGGTGATACATGGTGAACTGTAGAAAATATTTGAGAAATAATACCAATTATACACAAACTTTTCTAGAAAAATAAGAAATACTTCCCAATCATTCTCAGCATTACTCTTCTACCAAAAGTAGACACTTCAACAAATCACATTCGGCAATATATACAAAGATGCACTATGATAAAGTAGGGTTTACCCTGGCAACATAGGTTGGTATAAGATTCAAAAATGATATATAATTTATTTTGTTAACAGGCTACAAGAAAACCCCCCTGGTGTGGGGCCAGCACTGTAAAGGGAAATGGTAATTTTAGGGGCAAGGCAGAAATTTTCTGTAGCATATACATTTATCAAAATTCAGAAATATATATCATAAAATTGCTAAATTTTATTGGTTATAAATTACAGCTCAATAAAGCCAAGTAAGAAAATTGCAAAGATACAAATCATTAACAAAATAAAAATTCAAATGATGGATAAATGAAAAAATTTAAGTGCTAATAATAAAAAAAAATGCTATCATTTTTCAACTATTTACTTGACTAAAAGTGTTAAAAATTACTACAGTGAGGGTTACCTGAAATAGGCATTCTTTTACAGAGCTAACAGGAAGGTTCTTAGCTCAATTTTTCTGAGAACATATAAATGTTTTACAAGTCTTAAAATTATTTAAATCTTTTGATAAAGCAAGTTGAATTCTATTTATTCCTAGGAAAATAATCACAGTGGTACCAAAATCAACAAGTTTGTAGAGCACTACTTATAGAAGCTGATGAAATTAAGCCTCTTTTATAGGATGGAATATTATTCTATCATTTAAAAACAAAAACATGTGTATGCCATACACAGTATTCTTCTAGATATTGAGAAGCAACTAACACTACCTTGTAATCACCACTGAAAACATTTTACTGACTAAGTCTAGGGTTTCAGGTAAATGAAGTAGACATATACACAATATCACTTAAATTCAGTGTCACCAAGAGCCCTTTGCTGACAACCAGGGATGCTAGGATTTCAGATAAGCAGACACATATACAAAAGGGCAATGTCACAAAAACTCGTGTTACTCCATACCTTTATATCACTGTCAATTTTTTCCCATTCTTCTGCTGTGAAACTGGATGCTGTTGATGCAGGTTTATCTTTTCTTAAAGCTCGACTTTCAGGAGCCAATGCTTTAAGACGATTTTCACAAAATTCTGTGAGTTCAGGATAATACCCTTCCTCTCCAGACCTTTAAAAAATTTCAGAATTTCAGACCCTCCATGGTGGTTCAACAGGCAGCACTATAAGCTGGCCACAGCCACTTCAGTGTTCCATCCCCAGCCCGGGAGGCGAACCGCATGGCAGCAGACCTCTCGCTGCTCCCCTCAGCACTGTACTTTGTCAATCTGCCTGTTCTGCTCCCTGCTCTGTCAGGTGAATCCTCTCTCTGGCCTGCACTCCAGTTCTGCATGCATGCATAAATAAATAAAGTTTTAAAAACTATCAGAATTTTTCTTTATTGAGAGATGACCTAGACCAGTGGTTTGCAAATTGGATTGCACAGAGCCCAGGGGTTCTACAGAAATCTCAAGAACTACCTCTGCACAAGGCCGAAGAGTGGGCTGCTGGCTGCCATGCATCTTCCTCAAGAAGCACAACCTCTATTTTTACCTGCTAACCTATAAATGAATGAATGCAATGAAGGAAAAGAGTTCCAAAAGATCAATTTCTATCAGATATTTTAAAAGTTGAATAAATTATATTTTCTTGTTTTATTATACACATATTCATAGCTACTTTACCTCTTCCGAAAAAAAAAAAAAAAGAAATTGAGGGGGTCTTCCTGGTGGTGCAAGGGGTTAAATCATCAGCGGCCACTGCAGCATGAGTTCTGTCCCTGGCCAGGGAGCTGACCCACAGGTGTAGCAGACCTCTCTTATCTCTCCCTCTGCACCTCAGCAGTGTAGTTCAGTCAATCTGCCTGTTTTCCTCCCAACTCTGTCTCTGGTGAATCCTTTCATACACACATCTCTGGCCTAACCCCAGTTCTTGAATGCATAAACAAATCTTCAAAAAAATGTGAAGAAAGCAGAAAAATACCCACGTGGGTATGAATTAGTCTAAGTTTCAGACTCAAGTAGATTTAACAAGAACCTTCCAAATTAACCACTTTGTTGAACATTAACATGGGCAAAATAATAAACTCAATATTTGAAAATCTGCTCCGTGAATCCTAGTGGAGATACATCTAGAAGGCAACAACAGAACAATTAAAATTGGCTCACTCAGATACAAAATGACTTTTTAAACATTACCTGAGCACACAAAGAATTTTTTCCAAGTGTTTAACATCTGAACATTTTTCAATATACTTGAAATCCAAATGTTCCACAGGGATTTTAAATGTTTTTGTTGTTCCAAAACCCCACAATGATGGATAATCTTTGGAAGTCATGGCTGAAATATAAGAAGAAAACATTTGTGAGTCTAATAATATACTTAGTACTCTATTTGGGTACTGGTAATCACCTTAATACTCCTGAAATATCTATTTTTCACATAAAGAAGAGGAGGTAAAATTCTTTTCCAAGGAGAAAAGTTACTTATTTTAAATTCCCTCTTTAATGATATTTACTGTTCATGGAGCTAAATCACTTTGTCCCATGCAAGGATTACCTTACTTAACCTTTATTTAGGTTCAAATACAATGACAAAACAGATTTCTGGTACATAAATGGTACTCATTTATGTCCAGTATCTGGTATCTAAAAATTAAACTGACCCCAAAAACCCCAGACTAACAGGAGAAAAGTTTTATTTAACTTATAAGCACATGGGGCGTCATAGAAAAAAGGTGAAAATCCAAAGAAACTTTTTGACCCTGGAGCCCACATAACATTCCAACAAAGGGTGATGATACAAAGAAAGTTTGGGCTTCTAGGGGAAGGGAAAAACTAATGGAAGATAGGATTTTTTAAAAAAAGATTTATTTATTTATGCATACAGAACTGGGGTACAGGCCAGAGGTGCAGAGGTCGTGAGAGGATTCACCAGAGACTGAGTCGGGGCAGAAAAGGCAGATCCACGAAGTACACTGCTGAGAGGAGCAGCGAGCGGGTCAGCAGAGGTCTGTTGTGCCATGTGGGTCACCTCATGGGCTGGGGATCGAACTCATACTGAAGCCGTTGCCTTGCAGTGCTGCGTCCTAACCCACTGTACCACCAGGGAGGGCCAGATAAGGATTATTTTAATGAGGTTTATTTATACAGATGCTTGATGCTGACTCTCCTTACGGTGCTGAGGGTTGTTCTTTTCCTGGTGTGGAACAGCGGACACCTTCACCAGGGAAATTATGTACTGCTTTAAGGCAGAAAGGGAGAGGGCAGAGAATTCACCCTGTGCCTGCTGTTTCCTAACTGTCAGCTCATTGTAATCCTTAGGTCAACATGGCCTATTTGGGGGTATCATATTCTGATACTCTTTCTAAGGTATCTTTTAACATTGATTTGAATGACTTTCTACTTTAGCATTTTGCTAACACTCTGATTTCCTTTGTGATTTAGCACAAACAGCAATAACATCTTTCTGTAACCTAACATCACCACCTTCCCCTGTCTTTGCCTACCCCTCCCATCAATAAACATCTCCCAGGTCTGTGTTCTAGTGGCACTCAGATACATCCCTCTCACATCACACAGCACATGCTCTTAAGTATTTTTCTTTGCTTTCCTGTCTAGATGGTGAGATATCTTACTTTATGCATTTTCACAGTTTCAGGACTAACATAAAAAGTGCCTCATAGTCCATAAGTAGCATTTGCTGAACTCACTTGGAAATAAGGGGGCTTTGGACAGCTTCATTTCAAGGATACTGCTGTTAGTGGTAATGATCGTAACAACCACAAATACATATTCTTAATGTGTGCTGGTCACCATTCAAATTCTTTATACATGTTACCTCATTCAACCCATCACTTATTGCATCAGGTAGACTTTAAGTAAAGAGCAATAATCAGTTAACACTGATGCAGTTAAATTACTGTGTGACATGGATTATCTCACGTAATCTTCAAAACACTCTCAGAAAAGAAGCTAATATTTATTACCACTTTGCAGATGAGTAAATTGACATTTCAAGTAAATAATGCTCAAGGTTATCTACATGTAGATAACCAAGAAGTGAACTGAAGAACTGAATTTCAGTAGGTAACTATGATACCCACATACTTAACCATCATAACTGCTTTTTCATTTGCAGGGCTGCACCGCATGATACTTAGTGAATTGCAATTAACAATGTTTTATAGTGAGACCAAAGAATAACAAACTGGATGACCAATGCAAACATATCCATATTTTATTTCATATGCATAGGTTGACATGGCCTATGTGGGGGTATCATATTCTGATCCCCTTTCTATCTTTTGACATTGATTTCAATGACTTTTCAAATTACACATTACAAATCTGTATAATGTGCATATTGCAAAGTAAAAATATACTTTTTATTGTCAACGTTTTTTTAAAGCACAGCACTAAAACATACAGGGTGATAATGTTAGAACAAGCAGCAACAATGGGTCTAACTCACTAAATGTATTTCCTACAGCTTAGTCGGATAGCCTCTGCAGAGAGGATGAGGACACTGCCAAGTTTCTCCTCCCAAATAGTGAAAAATATTTTAACGATAGTCATCTCTAGTAAGTGGAATTTCATCCTGAACACTTTCAACATTCCTCTGGGAATCTCTGTTGAAAATTACCGTGTTTTTGTTTTCTTGGTGAGACACACATTCTCCAGACCACTAAATATTAATTCTCAAGTTCCAAAATACAAGTTATACAATACGCTGTTCGCTCACTACAACTCTCATAAATCTGGTTTCAGTGTCTTTGTTTAGGAAAACCTTTGTCCCCCGTTGGATTTCATTTTTTTCTCCATGATCCTCATCCACAATCAGTCCCCCTAGTTTCTAATTCGTCAGCTATTTAAATTTATGCCCAGCGAAAATAAGAGCATCTTCCAACTAGGCAGCCTTCTAGCACCTACACAGTCGAGCGCCTCCTGCCTCAAGAAACCAAAAGGAAATGGCATCCTCCAGCCTAGCAACGGTTTCTATGTATGCCGCAGCCTGAGAGCGCAGCGAGGTCGGGTACTGGCGGGGACCAGGAGGGTTACAGCAACCCCCAAAACGGTCAGGGGGACCCCTTAGAACCCTCTGAATTCGTTCCTCACTCGATCGCCAGCTCTGGTCGCCGCTGGCGGGCCACAAGGATCCCTGTGATGCCACGGACCCGCAATATCCGCCACAGTCGGTCCGAGAAACTAAAGGCCCTAAGTTTGGGACCCTCAACCCTGAGCTTTGATCATCTCACAACTCACTCCCTCACTCAAATTCGACGATGCTTTAGCTCCTGCGGTTACACTTTTCACCCGGCCGTCAGAAGAAGGGACTGTAACCCGAAAGGGCCGGGCTGGCCGATACTCACTAGTTCTCCCGGAGAGCCCGGTGGAGTTGACGGCTGGACTAGCAGCTGTGGAGCGGGGGTGTGTCGCCTAGGTCCCTCCCGCGAGGCAGCCTGCCCTGGGCGGGGATCAAGCTATCTGCGGGATGATTGGCTGGTCTTGGACCTGCGATGTCAATGATTGGCTTTCCAGGCCCGGATTTCACCCCAACAAAGGACCCTCGGATGGGTAAGACTCTTGGTGAGAGCTTCCCCTTTGCTCCATCTTAGTTCGGTTTAGATTGTTAAAACATTGTTATTACTCTGGACTGTTAGACCACCTGCAAGATAAGCTTATATCTATGTTTACTTAACTATAGAAGCATAGCTAAACTTTCAGGATCTTGACATTGCAACCTAAATCAGTTGGCCTTCTCCCTTTTATATAGAAAAGTAAGACAATATTCCCTTTTCATGCACCCAATATTTTCTGAGGACTAGTTATGCATCAGGCACTGTAATACTGGGCACTGGGATCAAAAGGTCACAAGGCAACACAATTCAGATGAATAAAACAGTAAAGGCCATTTGTGAGATAGTCGTATTTCAGCTTTATAATTTCAGATGAGTTAAAACAGATAAGATACATAAAGCACTTAATATATTGAATTGCATATAACAGGAGTTGAATAAACATATTTCTCTTCCCAGTTTAAGTTTTGCACTTAATTGCAGGCCTACAGTCTATTAGCTGGCACTATCATTGTGATAAAAATTCAAATGTTACTTATTTTCATTGCCAATGTTGGTGAATATTAAATTAGCATGTTTATTGTCACAAATTCAAACTTTAGCATAATCTATAGGTTGCTTTACTAATTTGTCATGGGAAGCAACATCACATGCCCCAGGGTATATTAAGTCGCTTCATTTCTCCTTTCAGCCAGCAAACTTCATCTAAAACCATGCCAGTAGTAGATTGAATGAAAAGTCATCAGCACTTCTGAGCTGTGGGTCACAGTTTGAGATGTCTCGTGTCATGTTTGATGGAGAGGCCTTGTGTATCTGTGACAACAGGGAGTTTCCTTATTCACTCTTCACTTGCCATTGTCTGACAACTTCTCTTTCTTTCTTTCTTTCTTTTTCTTTTAAAGATTTATTTATTTATGCATACGGACTGGGGTACAGGCCAGAGGTTCAGGGGTGGTGAAAGGATTCACCAGAGACAGAGCAGGGAGCAGAATAGGCTGACTGATGAAGTACACTGCTGAGGGAGGAAGTAGCGGGCAGGTCAGGAGAGGTCTGCCACGCCATGTGGGTCACCTCCGGGGTGGGGATCGAACTAATGCTGAAGTGGCTTTAGCTTCATAGTGCTGTGCTTTAACTGGCTGCGCCACCAGGGAGGGCCAACTTCTCTTTCTAATACAAATTCATTTACACCTCCAAAAGAAAACCAAACCATGGCCTCACTGTAAAGACATCATTTTATTTCCAGAATAGGAAGGAATCCTTTAAAAACTGGGAAGAACGGTTATAATTCCACATGCCCTTCACTTTTCTTTTCACATGCACTTTCTCTTTCATCCTATACATAAACACTTATGTTGAATAAACAAGCAGGGGAAAAAGCAATTAGAAGGAAACATACTAAGCAAATGAAAATAATCACTGTTATCATCAGAGAGAAACAAAGAAAAACCAGGCTTTTAAAAATGAAAATTATACCAGAAATTAAAGCCCCACTAGGTGGATTAGAAAGTACAGTTGAAGAACCCTTTTACAGAGCAGAGAAAGAAGAAAATATAAAGATAAGCAGGAAAGAAATTTCCCTGGCCAGACTGAACTCAGGCCTCAGGCCACAGTGGCTGGCCATAGCTTGAAAGCTTGAAAAGGCTGAGACTTTAACTCCTGTGGCAACAGTGAGGCCCTTTAAAAAGATCTAGTGATGGCTTCCCTGGTGATGCAAGGGGTTAAGTCACAGCACTCTGAAGCTAACAGCATCCCTGGCCAGGGAGCCGATCCACATGGCCCAGTAGGCCTAGCCCACTGCTCCCCTCAAAAGTATATTTCAGCAGAATTGCCTGTTCTGTCTCTGGAAATCCTCTCACCACCACCACCACCCTGCACCTCTGACCTACACCCTAGTTCTTGTATGCATAAATAAATTTAAAAAAAAAAGGACCTAGAGAGACAAGAAAATTAAGGGTAAAGTTATTAAATAGTCCAAGAAAACTCCCCAGAACTAGAGAGTTGGGTGTCCATATTGAAAGATCCCAAGTGACCAAGCCAGTGGTAGGAAATAGCCCCTCTCAAGGCACATATGTTAAACTTTATGAGTACTGATGACCAAAACATTCTGTTTCCACAAAGGAAATTATTTAAAAAGGATTAAGAATAAGAATGATTTAGGATTTCCCAACAGTAAAAACTGGAAGCTAGGAAAGAATAAAACAATTCTTTAAAATTCTGAATGAAAATAATTTCTGTTATATTCTACGCTCAAATTACCAATTAAGGGTTGGGCTAAAGACATATTCAGAAATTAAAGTTACCATCCAGCTGTTGTTCCCACCCAAAAGAGTTACTGAAAAATGTGTTAAAAAAAAAAAAAGAGGGGTAAACTAAGAAAATGAGATGCAGGACACAGTGGATTCAACTCAAGAGAGAGCCAGGAAAATCCTCATGACAGTGAAGGGAAACCCTGAGTCATGTAGGAGATGCAGAAAACTCCATTTAGGGGAGAGGCAAAAGGTTCTGGGAGAAACAATTCTAAGAACATGACATGAATAATGTGTCGAAGTGATTTAGGGAGTTTCATGAGTAATTTAGGAGTTTCACATTTCTATGTGAATAGAAAGCAATTGTTAGACTAGAATAATAGAAATATAAAAAACAATTAGTAAGTTCAGGAAAGTTATGCAAGTGATCACCTAGTACATGACTTAGCTGTGACCTAGCATTTATACTGTTAAATCTCTGAATACTGCTGTAACAAAAATGGTAGTTATAATATTAATGAAACAAAAACTATAATTATAATTAATAATTATGATTTTTTATGCTACCAGTTATATGATATAGTTAAACATAAAAAGGACAGTTAAGTTTCATCTCCTATAGTTAGAAATCAGTAATATCAAAAATAATAAAAATAATAACGAAATCTACTTCTTCAGAAATGAAGGTAATTAGCAAAAAAAGTAATTACAAGGATTGGTCATTTCTGATTTAATCTATCTTTGAATTTTCCATACTTTAATTTCTGAAGATAGGTTCACAGCCTTAGACTACTGCAATGACATCTCTGATTTCACCTCTTTGACAGTGATATTGAAGTCAAAAGAAATGGCCTGTCACGGACTAGCAGGTCTGAATTTGAACTAACTTCCAGTGTTTCTTCCATAGACCTAACTTCATGTCCGTAGTCATGTTATGTGTTAACTTCAAGCTCTAATTTACTTATTTTTATATATACAAAGCACCATTAAAAATAATCGTTTAAAAACATTTTTTTTAACCTTGTGGGATAATCACTTTTATATTTTGACACAGTCGGTCAGCATGGACAGCCTGCTAGATGGATGGATGGACAGATGACAGATGATGATGGTATAGATGAATGAATGAGTGAATGAACATGTAAGTAAACGACAAGTGAAATGCATACACCTGTCACCTTCCACAGTACTTGCACTGTGAACAAGGTGTCCTTCTAGGTCTGCACACTTCCTATGTGGGGCTGGAGGGATTCTGGAGCAGGTTATGGGCAATCTTTCAACAAGCCCCCCCAAATGGGTGAGAAGACATGGGAAAGAGGAAAGCCACTTAGTCTTCCCAGAAAGGTGGGCCCACCATGGTTTTTATGCATAGACTGCCTGCTGTGCATGTGCTTGCAGCATGTGTTATGTGGTTCATGTCCTGTTTTATGTTGCAGGTTTGTACACAGCTCACTGGTCAATGCACAGTTCATTCAACAGGACATACAGCTCATTCAACAGGATGCACAGCTCATTCAACAGGATGCACAGTTCACTGTGCACTGCACAGCACCAGAACTGGAAGCAAACTGAGGTTACATGTATATACTATACGTATATATGTAGCATGTTATTCATGTGCCTGTTAATGGATTCAGTTCTGGCCAGTAGAACTATTTGGGCTTGGAAGTAGAGCCACGCATGCCTGACCAGGGACAGACCTTGGACTTGGAGCTGCTAAGAAGGAACCCTGGCCCCAAGGCTACCTGCCCTGCCAAGTGCTGCACTCCTGGAGTCTTTTGGAGGCTGAGTCTCAAGGGGCTGCACCCCTGGAGACTTGGAAGCTAAGCGCCAGTCTGGGACCAGCTGGTCAAACTCATATTTACAACTGCTAGGCAGTGCTCTTGCTCTGTCTGCCAGCCCAGTCAGCCCCACCAGCTGCCAGACTCCCAGTGATGGGGCCCCATAGGATCGTGGACTTAAGAGCATGAAGGGAAAGACAGGCAAGGGTGCCTTCCTGCACCATGGGTCTCTGAGTGAGGGAGAGAAGGGACCCCTAAGGTACAGACTGTAAGAATGTTTTTACAATTAGATCAGTAGTTAACAGCATTCTGTTCTATGCTGAAAATAGAATAGTAAGAGTAGCTACATTGTCCAGGAAGTTGGGCCTTATTTAGGAGGCTGTCACAAAGATACATATTTACTGGGACTCCCCTAAGAACAAGATCAAGGAGGAATGTAGCAGAATCACAAAACTGTAAAAGCCCTGGCTATAGGAAAGCCGTACCAATGGAGCATTCTTAGAAAAGGTGAGATGGTGGTACTTTGTATAGCACATAATACATGTATAGGACTTAAGTGCTTGAGGTTGGTGGTAGAAATGTGTTTCTTAAAACTGATGGGTGCAGGTGGTACCACAGCAGCCACCACAGTTCTGGGGGAGGAAGAAAGGTACAGGCTGGCCTTTGCAGGGGACTAGACCCTTTGTGAAACCCACAAAATCCCAGCAATTGAATAAAATGAACCCACGGGCCCTCTGGTTAACAGTAACAGCTGGCTCCCAGTACATGGCCTGAAGTACCCAGCATTCACTGACAATCTAAATGCAAAGCAGAGCTCAACAAGAGCTTGCAGAGCTTGCCAACTACCAAAGACTTTGAAATCTCTGGTTGCTCTGGCCAAAAGGAGGCAATAGGAAGGATTGATTAGCTGTTTGCTTGGGGAACAGGAGCATAAAGTCATATATTCCAGAGGTGATATTCCACAGAGGGCAATCACACTATCTGGTGCAGGCATTTCCTTGGTGATCCTGACTGATACAGCTGCCAAAGTCAGTAGGCATGAGGATGTCTCATTTGAATTTGTTTGTCTCTCAGTAACAGAAAGGAGAGATTCAGAGTATCCCACAGATCATGCAAATAAAGCTGGTGTATGTGCAGAAAAAGATAAAATGGCTTAATTTCTTGAATGTCAGATATTAGTGAAGCTGGAATAGATTCAATTTTCAAAATGGTTATTAATAAGTGAACATGACATTCCATAATGATGGAATTTGGTGACAAAAATACAGGCAGGGCCATCAGTTCTTTATTTCTAAAATCAAGGCAAAAGTTTTAAACTTTATATGGTAATTCAGTGCAAACCAATTTCTATTCTTTTTATACTCTGAAAGCAGAATATTTTATCTTAAAAAATGATAAATCTGTGAATACCTGCCTTAATTGTCTGCCTCATCATTGGGTTGATTTTGCCTTACAGAAAGCAATCATCAAAATTTCTTTTTGTCAAAATCAGTGAAGCAAAATACACATAGAAATACCGATGTCAAGTAACAAATGAAGTATGTAACCCAAAGACACGTATGCAGACAGTATATATACCAGTGTATTCTATACAAAATGCTAGTTTACAACAGCTGATGATGACAGTGTCTTCCAAGTATTATTTGGATCTTTAGAGGACTGTAGAAAACTTCATTTTCCATAAGGGCTCCAAATGATTCTAGGTTTTTTATAGGAAGTGTGGTTCCAGGAAGCAATTTCAACCTTCATTCTGGGTTAGATTACATATGTTTTAAAATTAAATTACAAATCATGAAACTGAACAAGAATAATTTCTTTATAGAAAGTATTGACAACTAAATACAATAGTTTTTAAAATGAAATAAAATGTATAAAGTTATATCCCTAACATATGCTACGTAAAGCTATACACAATGAAAAACAGAAAATCCAAATCCAAAAGAAGATATTCCTCTGAATTCCACATTTCATCGAGCATCAAAAACTACCACTGTATTAAGTTAAGTTAAGGGAAAAAGAGTAAGTCATAAAAAAAGATTTAACACTTCCAAGTTATGTTCTCATTGTACTGTTACATTATTTTAAACGAACAAAAGAATGAAATTCACTATTTATGATAACAATTGGAAATGAACTAAAAACAATTTCAATTTTTAGTAATTCCTTTTCCATGACATAAAAGACCAATATACCAAAAACAATGAGATGATGTTAAAGGTGATAAGTTGTTAATAAATGCTGGTTGCTATCTCATAACAAATTCCACTCAGCATTTGGGATAACGGGTAGGTCTTGCTTTTTTGTTAGCAAACATACACAGAAATACTTATTTCTCCTTGTGTAACTCAGTTTGCCCATAAATTCAAGCTAAGAATGAGAACTTAGTGAAATACAAATCCCTGAAAAATAAATTAATGAAAACAAAAATAAACTAATATTTAGATTATTTAAAGCCTATATGCTGGCATACTGGTGCATGAACATGTTAAGCATGCTTTTTTAAAAAAAGTAATCCAAAAGTTATTACCATGTTTACCAAAAATTAGTCTTTGATTATCAGCCCCAGGATTCTTCACTTCCCTCCAACCTCATACTTAGAAATCAGTTAAAGGATACATCTTTTAGTCCTTTTCTTGTACATTATTCTGTATCCGCATTCTCTGCATCTGATTGGATCCCTGGATTTTATTTCATTCTCTGTGTGACATTCTGAAAAAGGAAACACATTCATTCAGTATCCAGAGGGAAATATTTCAGACAAACAAATTAACTGTATTTTTCATCCAAAGCACTAAAATATATTCAAACTCAAGGGTATGTTGTTATTACCGAACATGAGGGAGAAAGAAAAAAAAAAAGAACTGTGAGCAATGCACATTTTTCCAGACAGAAAATCTCAATGAAAGGATTTCTTTTTACAGTTTCTGTTGAAATGTTCTACTCTGTAAGACAACTGATACATTTATGCAAAGATAAATATAGTAATTTCTAAAAGGTTTACATTCTTGATGTAAACACTACACTTACCTCCACAGATATATATCATTGGCTGCTGCTTTGGGGGTTGAACTTCCTTTTGTGTGTCCATTGTTAGTTCCTGAAATCACAGACTCAAACTGAGTATTTCCAAGGAGCTCTTCACAAAAACAAGCCCTCCTGTTTTTCCCCAGGGAAGCCTAAAAAAAGATTCAAATTTCTAATTTGTACTTTTCCAAAAGCTACTGGTAGTTCTAATGGGGAAACAACATGTTGCACACTTCGCCCTAAACTGGACACAGTAATAAGTACGCTATTATAATCTTCACGACAATCCTAGAAGATATCGCTTTCATTTTACAGAAGAAACCAGGTTTAAAGAAATTCTGCGCAGGATTTATTCAGATATTAAAAGACAAAGGGATTTCGATCTGACAGCAGAACTCGCGTTTTCGTTTAACATAGCATAAGATACATATTTTTTTAACCCAAATTCTACGACCTAACCAAAACATATCGCTCAACAGGGAGCCGTGCGAACTAACCCAAGATACGGGAAAAATAATGCAAAAGCTCCCAAAAACTAAACTCTAAGAAACCAGGCGAAAGACTAACATCGACTCTATCCCCAGTCTCTCAAACCAAATACCACAAAGGATCTTTCCAAGCTGGAGTTTGTCCCAAATACGTACGCTCAAATCACAGACTGCCAACTACTTCCCAGCGCAGCACCGGGAATCTTAGCGCACCGCAATTCCACACCAGGTGACTCCTCGCAGTGTCCGGCGAGTTCCGGCGCCGGCATATGACGTACGGGGCCTCCGCCTCTTCCGCTCCCGGCGTTTCCGCGCAACCCGGGTTGTGCGCAGGCGTAAAGCGCAGACCTTGTGGGTGAGATGGTTCTGTTCCCCGCAGCTATTTTTATTTTTCTGCAACACAAAGCGTTCTAACAGCTGTGCAACTCAAAGGGTGTCTGTGTAACTGAGGGAGTCACTAAAAAGTAATACACACAGGAGTGCAGAGGGTTGGAAGAGAAACTGAAATGACGAGTGCCCCGGGAATCCTTGGTTAGCGATTGCCTCGAGGAACATAGAAAAATTGAATTCCATGCCGATTTTCATGTAGTAAAGACTTTTCAGCTTGCATTTTCAAAAATCGTTAAATACCTGCGCTGGGGCAGTGGGGCAGCTGCTTCTTATGTTATGCATAATTTTCTTTTTGTTTTTCCTCCCTTTATCTCTTAGGCTCCTGTAATTTCTCCCACTCCAGCAAAAGCGGGCTTGAGGTTAATCATCCATTACTCCCATTTTAAAGGGATTTTGACAGGTCATCCACTGACCTTTCCATTCCGTGGATTCCTCTGTGGGAAATAGATGGGTTTTAGAATTCCAAGGTCAACGATGGGATGACACCCAATCCAGCAAAAGAGATTAAAAGATCAAAAACTGTGGGTACAGAAAAGGTCATTTAAAATTGGAGCATATGAGTAAAGCCCAAGGCAAGCTACACATAACTCTTTTTGTCCTTGGGTGGGTGGGGGCAGTGAAAGTTAATTCATCCTCCAATGAAAGGTATGCTCTTTTACTCTTCAGTTGCACAAATATAAAACATAAAATGTATCAAAGAATAGGAAAGTGTTTGAATGGTATTCGGGTTGTGTGTCTTCTGTTTAACAAGAGGCAGAATTCACTGCCTTGATTCCATTAGGATAAGTGTCATTAAACAAAATAAATAATATTTTAGAAGGTGGTAAATTACATGGAGAACATCCAATAGAAAAGAATTGTAAATGTGTGGCAGGAAAAGGCAAATGGCTGCCAACAGATTTGTTTGAAGAGCTTGAAAGTCTACTTACTGTGCCTAAGAATGTCGGGGAAGCTTCAGAGAGATGTTGTCTTGAACACTGTGTTATTCACCAAGTCTTTACCTGGAGGTACCTCAATGGTAACAATCACACTAAATCTTATTTTCTCCCAAACCTGTATTCTGCTCTCTCAACCCCTGCCCCTTGTGTTTTACTCTAGTAATGGAAGATGGCCAGGACAGATTCTTCTCCACCTCCACTATCTCCCATAGTCATGCAGCAATTTTCTCTCCTCTCTTTGTCCTCCATTCTGTTTGCGTTGGCTAAAAATGTCAGCTTCTCAACATGCAGAATTCTCCATCAATTGACTTCTCAAGACTTTTCTTTGCCCTTTCCTCAAGCAAGTCTTGTTTCCCTGCAGATTATTTGCATTACACTCTCCAATGTGCCATTTAATCTTTTTCCTGTTTTTGCACATTTTGTTCTGAGATTGAAACCAGTTTTTGTCTTTTAAATTTCCATTTGTCCTTCAAAATATCCCTCACATCATGGTCTTTATAGAAAAGGTTAGGTGGGCTCTCTTTTCTTCATTAAGTTTACTGGATCCCTCTTTCCTTTGTGCTAATATTATTATAGCAGTTATAGCTCATTTATCAGTGAGTCCCTTAGGGGCAGTAACTGTCTTACTCCTTTTTGTTTTCCCAGGACCTAACTGCTAATTGGCACATAGGGCTTAATTGTTGGTGACTTTGACTTTTGGATATAGTGCGTTTCAGATGATCCAGGAGCATCCAGTGGAGTTTTGATAGCAACATTTTTTGGCTTTAAATGGTTGAAGCGCTAATGCATACATTGTAAAGTAAGAAAAATGCTGAGGAAATTTATTGAGGGAGTTGACAGAACAAAAGGAGACAGAAAAAAAAAAAAAAAGGCATAGACTAAGAAGATGATGCAAGTAGCCGAAGATGGTACCTAGCAGGTAATAGGTGCCCAATAACCTTTTTTTAGATGCCCATCATCTACAAAAGGACGTTTGTAAACATTACCACAGTTCACTTTTTTGTGGTTAATAATTTTCCCTTATTAAAAAATCTATTTCTTGTAGGAAAATGAAAATACAGATAAAAAAAAATGAAGACTCAAATATAATCAAGTTATTCATACCTGTTGGACTTTATATTCTGTGTGTGTATTATCTGTCCTTCTAACCTACAATGCATCATTCGATTTGTAAACTGCTTTTTACACAAATCTTGGGAAGCATTTTAAAGTGAATGTTCCGCTCCATTATTTTTAATGGCATTCCGCTGTAAGACATACTTGTCTTTTTATATAATGTGAGAGTGAGGAGAGCAAGAGCCCATCACTGTGTGTGGAAGGGTGGGAAACAGGGAGACTTCTCCGGCTAGGGGCTGCAGGTCGTGAGATGACCGGTGGGGGCGCTGCGCATCCAGGGGCGGGCCGGGCCGGGCCGCGGGGCGGGGCCTAGCGGTTACTCAGGGCGGGCAGTTCAAACCGAAGGAGCCAAACGCAGCGGCGCCTCGCGAACCTGGCGTGGTAGTTGCCATAGCCGGGCATCCCAGGGGGCGCGGCGCGGTTCCTAACCGGCTCGCCCCGCACCTGCTGTCTCTTTCTCCTCCGGCACCGCGACCTGGGCGACCCGCCGATTTCACCTCGACGTCTGTGCGGCGTCGCCTGGGTCTCCAGGTGGGCGGGAGCGGGGGACCCCCAGGTGTTTGCCGGATAGCGGGTCTCCGGGCGTCCCGCAGCCGGCGCCCCGCTTCTCTTTCCAGGTGCTGGAACTGAGAGGTACCCCGAAGCCATTCACTTCTCTCGCTCCGCTCCAGGTGACACCCACCCGCCTGGGTCGTGGCTCGGGGTCCCGGAGGCCCGGTCGAGCCTCCCCACCCCCCCCCCGGCCTGGCCTTGGGGGCGTCTGGGGAGGGGCGGGCGGGCTGCGGGCGCCCAGGTGGGACCGTTAAACCCCCGCCGGCGGAGAAAACCTCGCGGGAGTGAATGACAGCGCTGCAGTTTGCTGCATCTTCTGGAATCAAATTTGGCAAGTTTCCTCAGTTCCAAGAGTAGCTGGAGAAAACGAAGACATTAAAATATTACTGTTGCCTTGAAAGCTGAGGGAATTTCAAAATGTTTTAAGGCTGAAACTTTCAAATGTTCGAAACCCCGAAGCTTATGCTTCGGTATCCGTCAAGTTTTAGCAGGCATCTTGCTACTGCACGTTGCAGTTCCCTGTTCAAACTAAAGTTTTCTCTTTAAGTGGTATTCCTTTGGCATGAATTTTAAACGCAGCGTGAGAGCCTCGTTTAGAAACTCACACAACTTCGACGTCTAAAAGCTCAAGATTTACTGATGGTAAGATTTCCCTCTTTTACAAGGGATTTGGCTTTCATGTAGCTAATAAATATTTCATTCTCTGACTTGACAGTGGTGTGTCCTTTTAGAAGAGCTCTGTAGAGATGTTTTCATTCCTTTGTTAGGCGACTGGTTTTTAAAAATGAACATGGAGACTTTTGAATCGTCAGTAAGCTGTTGAATCACTTAATAATTCAGTAAGCGTGTGATATTGTGCATAAATTATTTAAAATTTTAAATTTAAGTTTTGAAGTAACAAATGTTATTTGAGACCAACATCTTGAGGTGGTAGAAGGATGAAAGTGATGACAGCCGAGAAGGCACGTTGGAGCCCACTTCAAATGTGTAGATTTACTGAAAAGGAATTACAAAGGTTTTGTTTTTGTATTTCTTAAATAACAAGTGGGCTATATAGTTTTTAGGGGGAGAGGATGAATGCATTCCTCACTTGGGTTCCAACAATTTGCCTCTCAATTCCCGTATTCTAGCAGAGTGAGACACCTAATGGTCAAGTAGCAGAATACTTAACTTGTTTTAATTTTTTATAAACTCCCATGGTACCAAATGATGCGAGTGAAAATTGTTAATACAAAGGTGGAGGGAGAAGGGGACGATGACATTTTTGAGTGGCGGTATAATTTGAAAATGCATTATATCTTAATAACTTAATCTTTTGAAAATAAAATTGTTCTCAAATATACAAATTATCAAACTTTGATTTTGATTATTTTGGTAAGGATGTATAGAATAGAGCGATAATTTTCACATCGGAACGAAACTGAGATTTACTAAAAATAGCTATTTAAAGAGTTGAAAAGCACTAACTTTGTCTGGAGTAATGATTTTCTAATGATCGTTTATTATACCAGAAATAATTTATACTGTTTTGTGGTTGGAGTGGCAGCTGTTTATTTTAAAGGTCATCCACTCATATATTTAACTGATGTAATTGAGCATAACCAACTACTTTCCTTTTATAGTCACAAAAATTTGTCTTGCCCAGATCTTTTATTACTAGAGTGAAAACTGCACATTTAGTAAGTTTGAAAGAATGGCAGTTTTCTTAGTGGTATTTGAATAATCTGATGAAAAACTGGAAACTATGACTTTATTCTGGCTTCTTTTGTGTTAAGGTTTAATTCAAGTTTCTAAAAAGAAGTAATGTGATATACTGTTGAAAAGTTAAGGAATAAACCACTTTCTGTTGTTATTCCTGACAAATATAATTATTGAATAATATGTTTTCTCCAAGTAATGATTTGAATTTGCAATTTTAAGACTATTATAAAATGTGAGTATCCTACAAATAATTGACTGACTGAATTTTTATCAGTTCAGTCTACAACTGGGCCTTTTGTCTCAAAATATTTACATATTGAAGCATGGGTGAGTATAATATAGTAAGTTTGAAATAACCTTGTATTTATTGAATAGGAATTCATTTTGATAGCTCAAGAAGCATGTATTAGTAATTTATCAGTGAGCTAAAGAGTCTTTGCAACGGTGTAAGACTGGGAATTCAAATCTTGTGAGTGGTCTTGGGAATTTAATTTCTGAGACAGGCCTATGATGTAAACATAAATAACATCATCTGGGAGTTGTTTAATCAAATTTTGTTTAAAGTAAGTGACAGTATTCATTTGACACATTTCCCAAAGACCTGTTCAAAAATAAGCATACAGGCTTTTTTTAAAAGCAACTTTATTTATATCCCAGAATTTTGAAAATAAACATCTACTTGACTAGGTATAGGCCAGTACAAATAAGCTTGAATATTGAAGTTGCAATTTTGTACTTTAATGCCGTTAAAGTCAAAAGGCAATAAAATCATCTAAAAATGATAGTGCAGAATTTTCCTCAAGTCTAGTTTAAGAAAATATTTATGCATGGTGCTTAGACCTATGCGTAGTTATCTGTGAATATTTATAATCTTAAATTCATTTTTTTATGATGTCAAAAGTTGTTTGAAGCAAGGTACCCATTGATTATATTGTAGAGATTTATTTTAAGTAACTATTTCTTTGCCACAAATTTTTCCATTATTATCTATAGTCATAACAAATAATGTATTTTGTTAAGTTTCCAGGATACTCATTTCAAAGAAAGAATAAAGTTTGCTTTTGCTTTGTAAAAACAGAGCTTTTGAAGATGTCAGAGAGGTGTTCAGGCCCAGCTTGCACTGGAGAAGGAAATGACCTGGACTCTTCTACTGTCAATTTCAAGTACTGTAGAGATTTTTGTTCTACATCTTCATTTCAAGAGAGTGACTACAGGGAGTTGTTAAAATCTTACAGTTTTGATAATACAAATAAAGAATTTTTGGGAAAGAAGGAAAGAGGCTCAACATTAATTTATGAACATTCTGAAACTTCCAGTCTGGGCTTAACATATCCTTTAGAGTCTTCCAGTCAAAAAACCCAATTTGTCTTCCCAAGGAAGGAAAGCGATAAAACCCCAGAACTTTGTGAAACTCCTAAAGTCAGAGGGAAAAAGTTTTTACTGCGCAGAAGGTTGGATATATCTTTCTCTCTTCTAACAGAGGACTTTGAATCACAAAATAGTTATCCAGAAAGTAGCATAAGTCATGTACTCCACTTAGAAAAAAATACACCAAGCAGTACTTCAGGTTCTCCAAGGCAAAGTAATTTTAGTCCTTTAGTTACTGGTACTTTGAAAATAGAAGCAGCGACTTCCAGCAGTCAAAAATTGAGACTTAATTTTTCTCAGCAGAAGACTTCCACAGTTGATGATCCCAAAGATGACTGTAGCCTTTTTGAAGTTGAATGTATATCTCCTATTCAGGGCAATAGTTTTAAAGATTCTATCACACATGACTTTAGTGATAGTCTGTGTGTTAACAATGAGAATACGTATCCTGAACTCCTGGACTCCTATGTTAGTGGAACTACCTGTGGAACAGATGAGGACATATTTGTGACTCCAATAAGTAATCTTGTAGCCAACATTAAATTTAATGCTAGTGAAAGTCTTTCTCCCTCAAATGAAGTAAGAACTGGTATTTCAACACCCGAAGACAGTGGTTTTAACTCACTTTGCTTGGATAAATCAGAAGATTTCCTCTCTGACCAGGAGAGTTCTTTTCAAGAACTATCTCAGAAACATAAGGGCACTTTCAAAGTGGGGAATACCATAAAAAAGTCAAGGCGTCTTGGAAGATGGAGAAGACTGTCCACACTTCGAGAGCAAGGCTCACAATCTGAGACAGAGGAGGAAAAGCAGGTCATTCACTCTGACCTTGAAGCAACACCAGCAGCTGCCTCAGACAGCTCAGAGAGTCAACTGAGTAGTGATAAGAGTGAGGATTTTATTTTAGGCTTTAAGAATTTATCAAAAACTCCAGCCTTGCAATTAGTGCATGAACTCTTTATGAAAAGCAAAAGGAAAAGATTACAACAAAATGGTGCACATGAATTCTTAGAAGAAAGGGACGGGGGGAAAATAGCTGTATTGCAATGTGTACTTGCAGGACTCATTGGCAAGAAAATGGGCATAGAGAAACTGGATATCTTAACAGAATTAAAATATAGAAACTTAAAGCATGTTCTTGCAATGGTTTTAGATTCCTTGACTGCAGAAAGTTTATGCAGGTAAGAAATAATTTTTTTAACTAAAAAATAAAGCCACCTTTTGTTGCATTTTTTTTAAGTTGTAAAGCTTTTCTATGAGTTGACTAGTCATCTTTTTTTTTCTTCTTTGTTATATCACCTCAATCTTTTATTCAAAAACCTGTTGTAGAGGCAACAATATAGTCATCATTTGGGAAGAGAGTTTCTAAAAGTTGAACTTAAAATTTCAAGACAGAAAGCAATGCTGCACAGAAGGTTTTTAAATGATTTAATGATGTAATATATAGTTTATATTCTGTTGTCAGACTAATTTTATTAGGCTGTTATTTGACCAGAAATAATGTAAAGTATGGTGTCTAAGAAATGACAACACAAAGGGTACCATTTCATTATTTAAATTCTAGAGCCCAAGAACAATTGTTAGCTTTCATTTTATGGCTTGGTCCTTCTAGAGATTAAGGGACTAGAACTTGTTTTATTTTCATTGTTAACACAACAGTGGAAATTAATAACTTTGAGGTATTTCAAGGAATTAGAAATGGAAGAATTTATAGTCATAGAAATTTCAGTATATTGAGAATTGCTACTTACGAGAAAATAAGTCAATATGTAAATGACCTGCCAATAGTCACTCTAGGACACAGGAAGACACGCTGGAAACAGGTCGACAGCTCAGTTGTCTGATGAATCAAGTGTCTCCCCACAGATTGTATTAAGTTTTAAGTTTTTCAGAATAGACTTAATTGGCACTGTTCTTGGAGTAATCCAAGTAGGATACTAAAAGATTAGTATAGTTACGTGTGTTTGCCTTTAAAAAATGTTCACATAAGATAAAATATTTTTGAAAATATTAAAAAAAAATTAAAGACATAATAAATATAGGAACTTTATATGCTGGATATGGATTAGTTAAAACTTATATTTTTGGGTGCTCTTTTGTGGGAGCAATTGATACTCAATTACGTTTCAGTAGTCACCTGTCCTGCTCATCCCTATAGATTTGTATGGTTTGTATTGCAGAATCTATGTATAATGTCAGTAGTGCTTATTCCTGATAATGTGAGAGATTATGGTCAGTTGCAATATATGTGGCAAGTACTCCATTATATAATTCATACTTTCCTCTTTACTGGATGACTATGTTTGTTACTCTCTGTTTTCCTGATGAAGGATTTTATCAGGTTTTGCATAGGCAATGGCAACTGAAGTGGTCATGGTAACTGAAAGAATAGTAGTCTTTTTTTTTTTAAAGATTTTTTTATGCATATAGAACTGGGGTGCAGGCCAAAGGTGCAGGAATGGTGAGAAGAGTCACCAGGTACAGAGTGGGGAGCAGAACCGGCAGATCGATGAAGTACACTGCTGAAGGGAGTAGCCGGCAAAACAGGAGAGGTCTGCTGAGCCATGTGGTCGCCTATGGGGCCAGTTTCGAACTTGCACTGAAGAGACTGCGGGTAGCTTGCAGTGCTACATCCTAACATGTTGCACCGCCAGGGAGGGCCAACAAGGATAGTCTGGACAAGTCAGTTATCCTGGGCCCTCATAACAAATAACTGTTTTCAACCTCTGACCTTCCCCTATATGTGATTTGTTAAACTTTAGGGTAATAAAGAAAAGGCAGATTAACATCCAAACACTACCTTTTTTTTTTTTTTAAAGATTTATTTATTTATGCATACAGAACTGGGGTACAGGCCAGAGATGCGGAGGGTAAGAGGCTTCTCCAGAGACAGAGTGGGGAGCAGAACAGGCAGATGGACGAAGTACACTGCTGAGGGGAGCAGTGGGTGGGTCAGGAGAGGTCTGCCACGCCTCCAGGGCAGGCGGGAATCGAACTCATGCTGAAGTGGCTTTAACTTCTCAGTGCTGTGCTTTAAACTGCTGCGCCACCAGGGAGGGCCAACACTACCTTTTCTTTAAGAACTAATGTGGTCAAAATTTATTGGTAAGTAATCCCTGAAAACAAATTGTGCTTTTCCTTTAGCTGCTTCATTCTCATTATCTTTGGTGTGTAAAATAGGAACTTTATAGCTACCTATAATTATACTTACTATTTATCACTTAGTAATTCCATTGAATTGAATTGACAGTCCATATGTTTATTTAATCGAAATGACTGAGGTTTGTTAAGTACAGTAATAGGGGAAATTGATTAAAATAATCTCTTGCACTATAGCTGATAATCATGTACTGAATATTATGATCTAAATTTTTTATCTTAGTGTCACAACTGAAGATAAATTCTCTTAATTTCCTAGGGGATTCATACTTTATATGAAATTTTTTCCTTAACCACTTATAAGGTAATAGTCTATCACTAAATACTAGCACGTTTAATTTTTTTTTTTTTTTTTTAAAGATTTATTTATTTGTGCATACAGAACTGGGGTACAGGCCAGAGGCTCAGGGGCAGTGAGAGGCTTCACCAGAGACAGAGCGGGGAACAGAACAGGCAGATCGAGGAAGCACACTGCTGAGGGGAGCAGCGGGTGGGCCAGGAGAGGTCTGCCACGCCATGTGGTCACCTCCGGGGCAGGCGGGAATCGAACTCATGCGGAAGCGGCTTTAGATTCTCGGTGCTGTGCTTTAACCCGCTGCGCCACCAGGGAGGGCCACGTTTAATTTTTTTTAAAAGATTTATTCATTCATGCATACAAGAGCTGAGGTGTAGGCCAGAGATGCAGGGGGTGAGAGGATTCACCAGAGACAGAGTTGGAAGCAGAATAGGCCTATTGACTAAATACACTGCTGAGGGGAGCAGAGGGGAAACAGGAGAGGTCTATTGTGCCCTGTGGGTCAGCTCCCTGGCCGAGGATCAAACTCATGTTGTAGTAGCTGCTGACAGCTTCATAGTACTGAGATTCAAACCCCTGCACCACCAAGCAGTCCCTATTCAATATTTTAATAGGAATTATTTCACATAATAACAAGAAATGAGATAGATCTAGCCATCTCTTAGTGTAAACTTTTAGGTTATCTTTACTGTCCAAGATTTTTCAAAGCAAGTTTTTCGTATTAATTACCTCATGCAAAAATATTAACCTTGTGGAATATGTACAATATAAGAACTTACCTTTTTGTTAACAGTGTTTGGAAGGTGAGCAGAAATTGGCGTGAAATTATTATTCAAGATAAAAAAGCAAATAAGAAGAGGAAATTATATATGACACAACTGAAAACAGATTTTGAGGTAATATATATACACAATACTTTTTTTTTTTTTAAAGCTTTACTTATGTCTACAGAACTGGGATACAGGCAGAGGTGCAGGGACTGTGAGAGGATTCGCCAGAGACAGAATGAGGAGCAGAACAGAAAGATTGAGAAAATACACTGCTGAGGGGAGCAGCAGGAGAGACAGGAGAGGTCTGCTGCTCCATGTGGATCACCTTCCTGGCTGGGGATCGAACTTCATAGTGCTGCCCTTTAACTCATTGAGCCACCAAGGAGGATGTTACAATAATTTTTGAAGGTGGATTTGCATAAATATCTGACAATCCATATTTTTGGACAAGCTAATTTGGTTTTCCTGCTAATTTTAACTATTTCCATTTAATAATTCCAAGTACTTTTCCCTAACTCCTTTTCTACCTGGTTTCCATAAGTGGAGTAAATTAACTCCAATAACATCTTGTTGGACTTTGTTGTTTTTAAATTTGTTATGTTAGAAGCATTTGAATACCAATGATATGCTGGATCCTGTTCATAACAAATTATTCTTATAGCATTTTCTAGCCAGTCTTCTGAGTGGACATTGCATGCCACTCATTGCAGTGGTGAACATTTTAAAATTGGTCCCTGCTCTTTTGGAGCACATACTCTATGGGTAATTGCAGGTAATGAATTAATTACAATACAGGTATGTTAAGTAAAGCCCAGAGTAACTTCTATTGGAACATTAAAAGGAATGCTTTATACTTAGGAATCAATAGGAGGCATCTCAGAAAAAAGCATCTCAACTGAGAACTACATGGAATTAGTAGTTAGGGAGGGAACAGTATGTCAACAGAGACCACAGCATAGGTGAAGGTCTGGAGGTGAGAGAACATCACAGGTTAGTACTGTTAAAGCTTTTTAAATTTGCACTTTCTTGAGATACAGCTTTGAAATTATAAGAAAAGTCCTACAGTACGTAGCTGATTACTTTTCCTAGGGACACTGCCTGGCCTAACATACATCAGATGACTTTGGCACCAGTATTTGATTGTATATTTAACTTTTGGGCCTTCCTTAGGTACCATAACCAATCCTGAGAATATTCCCTTATTCTTGTCTAGTGGAAATTATTTCATAACATGATAAGTAAATTGCTCATTTGACTAAATGTAGTAATTGAGATGAAGCATGGCATAAACCAATATGAGTGTTCAGATGAAAGATTGATGGGTTTCTTATTACAATGACATGTTCTGGACTGCTGTTAACAAAAACTAGTACATTTTCTAGTTTACTTAGGAAAAAAATTTTACTTTCTTACCTTCACAGTTCCCAGTCACTACTTACTGCTAAAATTTCTGACTCTGAGAGCCTATAATAACAAAGATTCTATTGCTATTCTTTTTTTATTGTTTTTTTTTTATTTTGCTATTCTTTTAAGAGTGCTATCCTACATGCAAAGGACAAACTTTTTTATTTTATTTTATTTTATAACAGTTTATTTTACATTTTTACATTTTTTTTCTCCCACCTCAATTGTAGGCAAAGGACAAACTTAAAAATAAATATTTTTAGCAAGCACCAATTAATGAAACTTTTAGCTTTCTGTACTTTACTACATATATAAGGCAGAAATGTGGTTGTGTTGCAATCTTTCAGGTAAATCCAGATGAAGTATTGCTCATTTCCTGTGCACCACTTTTTAAAATTTTGTTTCTTAAGGAATGTATTTAAACTTTTTACTTATTTTGGTGTGCTTTTAAAGTTTTTTCAAAGCAATAAGAGCATATGGTTTAAAAAGTTAAATTGGACTATGAGGATTATAATAAAATAAACGTTTCCCTTCTCTACTCCTTCCTGTGCTTAATTCTTGTCATAAAGGCAATCATTTTCAACTCTTAACCTCTATATTTCTAAATACCATGACTTTATTATTTCCTGTTTTTCTACAGAAGGTATACCACTTACCACTGCTCTTACCACTGCTACCTCTACCAATCTACCCATCTCCCGCTAAATGTCTTTCTCCTATCTTACATATGTAAACTACATACCATCGCTTGGGAGTGCATCAGAAGAAATAGGTGCAGACATATTAAGAGTGTTTTTATATTATTAGTTTGATAGCTTTATTATTTTGACTTTTTGATAGCTGCAATGCAGTACTCTATAGTTATACCTTGTTTAATATAAATTCCACTTCTCACTCTCCCCACCATCTCAAGTAGGTAATAATTGTCCAGCTTTTCTTTCTTTCTTTTTCTTTTCTTTTTGGATTAGTGCTCCTCTATATAGATCCCTGATTCATCTCCTATTATCCACCAGAATTGAAACAACCTCTGTGTAAGTCCAAACAAATCAGGTATTGTATTCCTTTTTTCCTCAGAGACATCCTTTACCCTCCTATTTCAATGTGAATTGATCTCTATCTGAACTATTCTAATGTATCAGCAAGCAAATAGAAAAATTATAAAACAAACTTGCTTGACAGTTTGCTAACACTTGTATAATGTATATATATCCTTACATTGAAAGCTCTGTGTGTGTAAAAATTATATGGTACAGACAACTCTGTATAGTAGGATTTCAATTTTTTCTGTTTTGCTTTGCAGCAGTGAGATAAACATTTAACTGCAATATCACAACTTTTATATTGAATTTCTTAATGTACTGTATTCTTCACTTTTTACCATGGAAATGAACAGCCATGAAATGACTCCATTCTGACATTGAAAGATTTTCTGGTGATGATGACTATGTTGTGAAAGATTTTGACCCTTGTGAACATGAATCTTTGTCTTGTATTCAGAGAGAGTAGCACACATTTTAACCTTTAAGAATACAGGGATTAGACTGTTGTATCCACTTGGCACTTTTAGGTGTTTTATAAATATCTTTTAAATGATGAGTGTTTCTTCTGTGGCTGGAATTTGCTTCAACAAAATCGCTCTTTTTTCTTTTTTCAGTGCATGAACAATCACTGTGTTTACCAATTGCATCCATCCAAATCCAGTGGATATTTTCTTTCAGTGTGCCTTTGAGTTATGTGCTTATGGTCTAGGGTGCAAATCATTTATACAAAAGTAGTGTAAAGAGCCCTTGAGTAAATTCACTTGATTTCTGAAAACCAGTATTTATCCATTACACTTATGCTTATGTTGTTAAAATGTTAATCACATAATTCTTCATGACCTCACTTTCTATACTTGTTCTATTATAATTTCTCATGTGTTAATTCTCTCTATTATTAAAAGCCAGTTGTGGCAAATGGGAATAGGGAGAGGAAACATAATCACAATTGCACACATAAGGAAATTCACCCATGGTTCATTTCATTTTGATGAGTGGTAAGAATACCAATTAGTAAAAAAAAGAAAAACAAACAAACTTAACTGTTTTTCCCTATGAAACCTTAACAAAAACAGAGGACTACCTAGATTATTCATACCTCTTGGCTAGATATTTAAGTAATGTAGAAATCCAGTTCAGTTGAGAGATTTACTTTTCTCCTTTTAAAATATCGTGCTGTTTAAATCTTAGGAGTCAAAATATCCAAGTATTTCCAAGTCTGGCAAGTATTTGTTGTTTTCAAAAACCAGCCTGTTTTAAAAAATACACCTCTTCAATTAAAATATGTTGGCTGCTCCAGTCTGTGGGCTGATTCCAGTCTGTTTGTTATCTATATATTTTTTAAAGATTTATTTATTTATGCATACATAACCCGGGTACAGGCTAGAGGTGCAGGGGCGGTGAGAGGATTCACCAGAGACAGAGTGGGGAGCAGAACAGGCAGATGGACGAGGTACACTGTTGAGGGGAGCAGCGGGCGGGTCAGGAGAGGTCTGCAGTGCCATGTGGATCACCCCCGGATGGTCGGGGATGGAGCTCATGCAGAAGTGCCTTCAGCCTCTTAGTGCTGCGCTTTAACCTGTGTGCCACCGGGGAGGGCCCTGTTACCTATGTTTTTAAAGTAAGTTTTAGTGGAACGTAGACCTGTTTTTTTCATTCACTTATTCTGACAACTGCTTTTGCTAAAATAGTAGTTGATGGCTCCATATATCTGGCTCACAAAGTATAAAATATTGTTTGATCCTTCTCAGGAACTGTTTGCTAACCCATCATTTATAAGGAAAAACAATCCTATAAACTTTCTGAAAAGCTGGCATGGGTTTAACTTTTTTGATATTTGATTTTTGAATGAGAGATGAAGAAAACATTCTAATGCAGAATGTTTTAGGGAGAACGTTCTAGAAGTGTACACACATTTAAATACCGAAGTATCAGAAAACTGTCCTAGAACAATGGCATGCACTATTGACCTTCTTATTTTTCACCACAGGGACCTATATTAAATGTTGAGGATGCTGCTACTCGGCTCCATCTTTTAAATCGATCAGCTTTAAGATCTGTGCAAGCTCAGGCTAGGACCCCAGGTTCTCAGAAAGAACAAGTTTCAACATTTTCTCCTTGGGGGGAAGTTTTGACGCCTATTGCAAGCTCTTCTGTTACCCACTTAAGTAGCAAACAGGAAGCATATGTGAAGGTGAGTGATTATCATAAGTTATTACAAGTTAACATTTACAGAATTTGAAATAAAGCAATTTTCTATATGAAACTGCAAGATGTATGTATGCTTTCACTGCAGGTTGCCAAAACACTTTTTATTGATGAAGCATTAAAACCTTGCCCACGTTGCCAGTCCCCTGCTAAATACCAGCCATATAAGAAAAGGGGACTGTGCAGCCGCACAGCCTGTGGCTTTGACTTTTGTGCATTATGTTTGTGTGCTTACCATGGGTCTGAAGAATGTAGTAGAGCAGCAGCAAAGCCAAGAAATAGAAAAGATGCTCTTCCAGGAAGTGCCCAGAGTAAGCAGAATTTAAAACGCCTTTAAAGAGACTTTAAATATAAAACAGTACTCCCTTCCAATATTTACTTTGACTTAAAATTATGAATATTGTGAGAGCATGCAAATATTCCATGAATGACAGATGATGATGATTTCCTACTTTGTGTAAATGAAAATCCATGTCATTGTATGTTTACTTTAAAGTAAGTTTTGAAAAAATTTTACTGTCATTTTTACCCTTTTTAATTACCTTGTATTTTTAAATAAAGACTTTTTGTTGTCATATATATGTATTTAACTGTTTTATGTAACATTTTAAAATTGTCCAATTCATCACTATGTTGAAATGTTTTTCAGTCCCTTTCTAATAACAGTTTTCCAAATATTTAAAACTTTGAAACTGAGACAGATGGTCTTACAGATTTGGAAAACATTTGACTGAAATGAAATATAAATAAAATGCTTTCAAAATTTACTCTAATTTCACACTTTCTCTTAATTTATGAGTGTCATGTTTGGGCAGACTTTTGGTTAAATAAAATTTGCTTAATTTTGATAACTAAGTAGACATAGAAGTAAATTATTAAATGTCTGGGGTTATTAATAATGAAATCTTCAGTCAGTTAATAAATCCCCCTTTAAATTACACATTTCACATAAGTACTTTTTAAGTGTCCAGAACTACAATTGTTGGTTTCATTTGTTTGATATATTCTTGGCATCAGCACTGTGACAAATTGGGGATTGTTGGAAAGATGTGTTTTTGTAATAAGAAAAATTAAATTGTTTATAATGTCCCTCTTTAAAATAATGACTTGCAGTTGCATGTTTCATTTGTAAAATAGTAGCAAGAAAGATAGAATTTCTATTGTTGAACAGATTAACAAAATCCAGGGGAAATTTGAAGATAATTCTCTATTTTCTCTGCGTATGTTTAGATAACTCATATGTGTATATGTCTTTGAGTGATGGTGAAGTAGATTTTACCAGGTTTAGTTTTAGAAATCGGCAATCTGTGTGTGTCCCTCTCTACTGTAGGTATTCTTAACAATGGAATCTCAGATGTTTTCTATTTCAGTTTTTTTTTTTTTTAAGATTTATTTATTTGTGCATACAGAACTGGGGTACAGGCCAGAGGCTCAGGGGCGGTGAGAGGCTTCACCACAGTGGGGAACAGAACAGGCAGATCGACGAAGTACACTGCTGAGGGGAGCAGCAGGCGGGTCAGGAGAGGTCTGCCACACCATGTGGTCACCTCCAGGGCAGGCGGGAATTGAACTCATGCGGAAGCGGCTTTAGATTCTCAGTGCAGTGCTTTAACCCGCTGCGCCACCAGGGAGGGCCCCTATTTCAGTTTTTAATTAGGATTTTAATATTATGATGAGTAGTGTGAGTAACATAGTATAAAGACTTAATTCCACATATTTTTAGTGATTTTTATCATAAAGGTTTCTAGAAAAAGATCAGAGCAGACATTCAAAAGCTAAGTTTCTTATTGATTGGCTTTATATGTACAATAAGCTAAGAAGTATATCAAATGGAATTCATGAATAACTATTAAATGAAGACTCCAGCTATCCATAAAACATGCAACATTACTCTAATTATTGTAAATTATTATATATTAATATACTGGAACAGTTGTTCCCTAGGTATATGCTCTCTTGATCCTATACTTCCTTAGCTGTGGCCACTTAGTTCACGTTACTAAAATTGCTTGTTTACTTTTATTTCCCCATAAGACCATAAGCTCTTTGAAGACTTGTATTATATTTGATTTAAACATGATTGTGTCTCTAGCACCTAGCTTAGGGCAGGTAAGTAGAAGGTACTCAACGAGTGAGTGAATAAATTTGGGAGAGGGTTACTAATAACTTTTCTACTGTTAAATTATTTTTAATGTTTATTTAATATCAACTTATTTTATAACATGTATATCATTTAAGGGTATAAATTCTCATCTCCTCAGATGTCTACTACCATATTGCACCTGCCACCACAATACCAATGATCCTCCATTATGGTCCACAGGGCTTCTCCCACCTTGTACTCCACCCTCACCACCCCTTCTGGTAGCCTCAATTATGCAGCCAGACTTCTTGGAGTTGTTTTGTTTAGTTTTGTATGTGGCTGTGCTTTCTTTATATTCCACACTATAAAGTATCGAGTTTTTGTCACCTTCCTTTTGCATTTCTCCTTCCTTTTGACTTAATGCACATAGCACAATCCCTCCTTTTCCATTCATGTCAACCACGTTGTCACTAATAGCACATTTTTTAAAAACAGCTAAGTATTATTCCATGTATATATATACCACATCTTTATCCACTCATCAGTTGTTGGACAATTTTTTTTTCCCTCTAAGTTATCTATTGTAAGTAGTATACAGTGAACATATATTTGTTTGAATTAGTGCTTTTGTATTCTTTGGTTAGATACTTGGGAATGGAGTTGCTGAGTTATATGATTGGTTCATTTTTAGTACATTAAGAAACCTGTTTTGTTTCTGATAGAGGCTAGACTAATCTACATTCCCACCAATTCTATTAGTAATTTTTATTCAGGTATACTGTTATAATTCTAGCCTAATCTTTCTTTTTAAAAAGATTTATTTATTTATGTATACAAGAACTAGGGTACAGGTCAGAGGTGGGGGGGTGGGAGGATTCAGCAGAGACAAAGTGGGGAGCAGAACAGGCAGATCCACTGACAGATGGGAGAGGCGTGGTCTGCCTCACCATGTGGGTCACTTCCTTGGCTGGAGATCAAACTCATGCCGCAGTCGCTGCTGAGAGCTTCATAGTGCTGTGTTTTAAACCCAATGCACCACCAGGGAGGGCTCTAATTTGCTAATCTCTTAATGCTTAATTTAATTAATGCTTCATTACAAAAAAGTAGGATCTAAGTATTTCTTAGTTTTTAAATGTGTAATTAGTGAATCTGGTATACTTGTCCTTTTAACTGGCTTATAATTAGGTGGGGTGTAGCCGAAGAAGCTCCAGGATAGGATTCAAAAGGACTGAGTTGGTATCTTGAACCACTTATTAGCCATGTCCTTATGCAATCATTTATTTAATTCTGAGCCTATTTCCTTTATCTATAATAAAGTGAACTAAATAAGATGATGTAGTTTTAAAATCATTCTTCAGATTTTTAGTGTTACCTGATCAGTGGTATTACACATTTGATTGAAAGTGAATAGAAAAAAACATATGACATATCACTATTATGCTGAATGAAATTACAGAGTCAAACCCTAGCTTTTTTGCAAAAAAAAAAATTGAAATTGAAAAACTTCAATAAATCGTGTATTATTACACACACACACACACACACATATGTATATATATACTCTATTCTAAATGTTTTATGTATGCTAACTCATTCCTCACAGTCACTCTAAGACAGTTGCTGTCCTACTCTGATATATCAGGAGATTAAGAATCAGATTAAATTAATCTAAGATCAAACAGACACTAAATATGGAGAGGCAGGATTCTACCAGGTCTAACCTGCCACTGTACATGACAAAACTCTTAACAGAACACCTATAAATACATTCAATATGCATATAATTACCGTGTCTTAAGTGGAAGATTGTTTTGACACTTAAGAAAAATCTATTGATGTGCCAGGAGAAAAATCTAATTTAGAACAACTCTCCCCAACAGAGAAGTTCTTTAGTTCATTGTTACTTAAACAACATTATAACTTGAAGAATCAAATAAATTACATTATCTGAGAGTTAAAGTGAAAAGCCATTGTTCTAGTGCACAAATCTTCGTAATCTAAAGACAGAAGGCATGAAAACAAAATTAAGGATTACAACATTCTAGTATTAACTACATTTTTAGAGACTTTGATTATTGAATGAGAGAGTAAGAAGAAAAAGTTCACCAAATACGTTTGGTGGGCATAACTAGCTGACCAAATAGATATATTTTATAAGTTGATTATATTTATTGATGAGCCTACTCTGTGTTTCTAAGTAGATTCCAAAATTAAAGTGATGGTTAAAACTGACTTTATTTCTCTATTTTATATCACTTCTTAATAAGGATTTAAGGAAATGAATTGAGTATTGATTTTGGGGAAAACAAATAACTTTTATACTGCTTTAGGTTAACAATCTCTCCCCTTTGTTAGTCTTTGCAGTTAATGGGTAAGAATATTCTACTTGACTTCTACTCCTTTCCAGAAAGGATAGCTATTTCCTATTTCTAACCCCCTATTTTGGAAAAAAAAAAAGTCAGTTATGGTAAGTTAAAGAAAAACACTGTAACAGTTACCATTTTGTATAAGTATTTCTATGGGCACAAATACATATGTTTATTACAGCTATGTGAAGACTTAAAGTCATAATCTGGCTTGCTTTGTAATAATTTAAGGTGTAACTAATTTATAAATAATTTTAAAGTTATATTGAGTGAATATTTTTGGTGCTTAGCATTGTTTAATCTTAGTTATTCCATTATTTTTGCTTTAACTTATGACACAAAGAAAAATCAACAAATATTGCACAAAAATTTACTTAAAATGTTCATCATTTTATTGATGGTTTGCAATGTTATTTATGTATTCATACCTGTGTCTCTTAAAAATAGTGTAACTGATATCTAAAGTCCTTTAGATGTTTTAAATGCGTGGAGGGTAAGTAATACACCAAACATTCCACAAGGGGGCACCAGAGACTCATTTATGGTGATTTTGGCGCCCTCCAAAAAGTAAATTTAAGTTTTCTATATTTAATGTGAATGGGCTATGACATTGCCAGATAGGCAAAATGTTTCTTGCATCAAGTTTTAAAATATTTATCGAGTAAAACTTTATAATAGTTATTAGAGTTGGTAATTAAAATATTTTAGCTGGCTTGCAAGAGTGTACTGTTTTCAGAGATGACTTATAACAGAACACCTTGTTAGCAGCTGGGTCTGTGTCTTATCTGTGTTTACTTGCCCAAGGGCTTAGCGCTCCTGGCTCCCTCATCACTGACTGTGGAGTTTGGGGAGAAAGATAAGCAGAACCATGGAGGTGAGTACTAGTTA